GACATAAATACAGAAGTGTTGGTGGCATACGTGGTGGCATGGAGAGATAGAATAGCTGTGGGCTTTCTGGCCTGTGGGCAGGAGGTTGGCTGGTAGAATACCCCCTTTGGGCATTTACAAACCGGCTAAAGGCACTTTGCAATGTTTGCCTGTAGCCAGTCTGTAATTAGGTGGAGGGGCCACATGGTGGAGAGGCTGAAGACAAAAGTGAGGCATGCCTGCAGTAAGGCAGATAGGAGACTGGGCAACTGCTGAATCCTGAGTTATTTCTGATCACTTCCTTAGTAAACCCCATAATTGTGAGTGTTGTCTTGAGTTCTGTGTGGCCATTCCAATGGATTATTTAACCCAGATATGAAGCAGAGACTGATGTGGGAGGAATGGTTGGCATCAAAAAAGGGCAAAGAAGGATGTGTATCTGGCCTCCACCTCATAGGAATCACCCTTGGACTGATATTGAGTTTGATTCTCCTTCTTCCTTGTGAAGCCAAAGGAAGTAAGACATGACCCTTTTTTCCAGGTACCTTCAATGGATTGAGAGATTGAGGGAAACAGACTAAACACTAAAAGAATTTATGAAAACACTACAGGAACACGCTGATATAAAAAATAAAATATTAGTACCCCTACAAATATGGTGTTGGTGGTTATGTGCATTCTGATTCATATAATGTTGAACCACAGGAAAGCAGGGTCAAGCACTTTGGAAATGAAGTACAGGGTTTCTGAAGTACAGGGTTTCTGAAGCTGTAAATCTTTACAGAAGCAGAAAGCTTCATCTTTCTCCTGCGGAATAGCTGGTAGTTTCAAACTGCTGACCTTGAAGTTTGCAGCCCGATTCGTAACCACTAGGCTACCAGAGCTCCTTAAAGGCTGGTTTAGTAGATAGAAATCCAGAAGATTAATGTTCAGATTTCAGAAATAGGTAATGCCACTGAAATCACAAAGAAGCAGAATCAAATCAATGGAAGGTAGAGTTAATGAGATTGAATACAATTCTCTCAATTCTCAGCTATTAGGTGAACAATCAGAAAAACAAAACAACACAAAACAAAATAAAGCCCAAGAATTATGTGGGACACCATCAAAGGAATAAATTATATGTGATCAGAATTCTGGAACAGGAAGAAACCTCCCCGAGTCTTCTCCACAAAACACAGAGAATATTGTTGAAGATTTCCTGGAAATGAAATGATGAAAGATAAGAAGGTAGACATTCAAGAAGCTCAACAAACCCCAAATAGGATAGACTCCCAAAGGAAATCACCAAGACATACCATAATCAAACTTTCTAAAGGCAAAGACAAAGAAAGAATACTGAAAGAAACTCAAGACAAATAAATTAAGTTACCTACAAAGGGGCCAATAAGACAAAAGTCTGGTTTTTGGGCAGAAACCATGCAAGCAAAAAGGCCAAGAAATCACATATGAAGAACTCTGTAAGAAAAAGTTTCTAAACCATGAGTTATGTACCTGGCACAATTATCCCTCAGATGTGACAGAAAAATTAGAACATTTCAAGAAAAATAGAAAATGAGGGGATTTGTGAAAAACAGACCAACCTTTCAAGAACTATTAAAGGGAATTCCCCTGAGAACCAACAATGCTAGACAACAACCTACAATAAACACACATGACGACATCACGTACAAACCAGCCAAGATATTCGTTTGTTGTTGCTAAGTGCATTTGAGTTGATTTTGAATTATAGCCACCTTGTATAGGGGTTCAAGACTTTAAATTTTTTGTAGGAGCAAAAAACCTCTTCCTTTTCCCACAGAGTGGCTGATGGTCTCGACTCACTGATTTTGTGGTTTGCAGTACAGTGCTTATCCTATGGAACCAGATATAGAAGTAACCAAAGTAAAATAAACCTACATCACTGAAAATAGGGAACCAGAAATATCAATTTGCCAATGAGGATAACTACAAAGCAAAAAAAGGGAACAAATAGTGTAGTTACAGAACTTCCAAATGGATGGGAAGTCAAGATGTTATAAATGTGGGAAAAAATAATAAATTGTAGAATAGCTTCAAATGAAATGAGTATACTTGTTAGATTGTTACTAAGTGCAGTCAAGTCGGATTCCAACCCACAGCAATCTTGTATAGGGTTTCCGAGGAGCAGCTGGTGAGCTTGAAACACCGGCCTTTTGGTTCAAGCACACTTCACAGTTCAGTACATTAACCAACAGCGCCACACTGGGACTCCAAAGTTAGTATACCACATCAAAATAAAGAAGAGGAAAATGATAAAGATGTAGTAAACAGTAAAACAGCAGCAATGAAGAAAATGATTTAAAAATCTATAAATAGAATTAATTCAGCACAAACATTTATATGGAACAAAGAAACCAGCACCATCACAAAAAACATGCAGCAACATGACAGCAATCAACACATATCTATTGATAACTACACTGAATGTAAATGGATTAAACACATCAGTCAAGAGACAGAGTAGAAGAATGTATAAGAAAACATGAGTCATCAATATACTGTTCACAAGAGACACAGGTAAACAAAGACAAAAATAGACTAAAAATAAAAGGATGGAAAAATATATCAGCAAATTGTTGTCGTTGTTGTCAAACACCATCGATTCGATTTGACTCATAGTGGCCCTATATAGGGTTTCCGAGGAATGGCTGGTAAGTTTGAGCAGCCAACCTTCCCAATAGCAAATGGCAATCAAAAAACAGTAGGATGGGTTCCTTAGGGTTCTTTGTTCTTATATCAGTCAATAGACTTTGTTCTCTAGCAGTCTTTGTACAAATTAATCTTCATTACTGCAATGTTGTTGTTTTTAGGTGCCGTCAAGTTGGTACCGACTCATAGCAACCCTATGTACAACAGAATGAAACATTGCCCAGTCCTGCGCTAACCTCACATCATTGCTACATTTGAGCCCATTGCTTATTGCATTAGAGAGATGCTAAGGCAAATGAAAGAAATGAGCTAAATCGAATATTTCAAAGGGCAGCTTGAGAAGACAAAGTCAAATATTATAATGAAATGTGCAAAGACCTGGAATTAGAAATTCAAAAGGGAGGAACACACTCAGCATTTCTCATAAGCTGAGGTTACTGAAGAAAAGATTCAAGCTTTGACTGCAATAGTGAAGGATTTTATGGTTAAAATATTGAATGATGCAGAGAACATCAAAAGAAGATTGAAGGAATACACAGAGTCACTGTCCCTAAAAGATATGGCTGATGTTCAACCATTTCAAGAGGCAGCATATAATCAAGAGCATGAAAGAAGAAGTCCAAGGTGCATTGAAGGCACTGGCAAAGAACAAGGCACCTAGAAGTCATGGAATTTAAATGGAAACCTTTCAACAAACTGATGCAGCACTTAGGCATTCACTCATCTATGCCGAGAAATTTGGAAGACAACTACCTGGTCAACTGACTGGAAGTGATTCATATTTGTGCCCATTCCAGAGAGAGATGACCAAATGGAAGGTGGAAATATTCAGACAGCATCATTAATATCACACACAAGTAAAATTTTGCTAAAGATAAAACAAAAATGGCTGCAACCATGCATTGATAGAGAATTTCCAGAGGTTCAAGCTGGATTCACAAGAAGATATGGAATGAGGGACATCATTGCTAACATCAGATGGATCTTGACTGAAAGCAGAGAATACTAGAAAGATGTTTACCTGTGCTTTATTGACTATGTAAAGATTTTCGATTGTGTGGGTCATGACAAGCTATGGACAACATTGTGAAAAATGAGTATTCCTAAACACTTAATTGTGCTCATGAGGAATCTCTACATAGACTAAGAGGAAGTTGTTCGAACAGAACAAGGAACACCAAATGGTTTAAAATTAGGAAAGGTGTGTGCCAGTGTTGTATTCTTTCACCATACTTACTCAATTTGTACGCTGAGCAAATAATTCGAGCAACTGGATTATATGAAGAAAAACATGACATCAGGATTGGAGGAAGACTCATAAACAACCTGTGGTATGCAGATGATATAACCTTGCTTGATGAAAGTGAAAAGTACTTAAAATATTTACTGATGAGGATCAAAGACCACAGCTTTTGGTATGGGTTGTACCTCAACATTAAGAAGACAAAAACCCTCACCACTGGACCAATAAACAACATCATATAAATGGAGAAAAGATTGAAGTTGTCAAAGACTTCATTTTGCTCTGATAAACCGTCAACACTCATGGAAACAGCAGTCAAGAAATCAAATGACATAGTGCACTAGGCATAGTTTGCTGCGCAAGACTTCTTTAAAGTGTTGAAGAGCAAAAATGTCAGTTTGAGGACTAAGGTGTGCCTGAGCCAAACCATGGCATTTTCAATAACTTCATATGCTTGTGAAAGTTGGACCTTGAGTAAGGAAGACCACAGAAGAATTGATGCTTTTGAGTTATGGTGTTGGAGGAGAATATTTAAAGCACCACGAACTGCCAAAATAACAAACAGACCTATGTTGGAAGAAGTATAGCCAGAGTGCTTCTTGGACTCCTGTGTGGTCAGACTTCGTCTATCATACTTCAGACATATTGTCAGGAGGGATCAGTTCCTGGAGAAGGATATCATGTTTGTTCAAGTGGAGGATTGTTGAAAAAGAGGGAGATCCCCAGTGAGATGGACTGGCACAGTGGCAGTAGCAATGGGCAATTGGGCTCATTACTACATAGGATAAAATATATATGTCAGAGAAAAGGATTCAAAGTCTAATATTAATAGCCACATAATCTATGGTTAGGTTTTCTGATTTTAAAAACATTATCTCCTGATGTAAAAAAGCATTGAGCTTGTCTTGATAAAGGGAAAATATTGAAGTTGGAGAAGCTAGACATATTAGGTAATCATCACCATGTTTATGGTTTTTCCCTTGTGTGCAAACCCTCAGTAAGTTAAAACAGAGCAACAGCACTTCAGCTTGTTCATGATTTTATGTTCTTTCTGGATCAACTCTCCTCCTTGTCCAGAAAAGATCGTGGATTGTGGAGATCATCTTACCTTGAAGTCATGCACAACTTTGGAGTCCTCTTCATGTTCTGGGGCTTGGCAGATGTTTGCAGTATATCCCTTAATCCTAAACAAGGGCAGAAGTTGCTTCCACAAGAATGGCCCAGAACAGTATTTCTGCAAGTTCTCTTGGTTGTCTTGGAAAAGCCTGGGCATGTTTTAATTAAAAAGCAAAACAAAAAACCCAAAACACTAGAGCAGAATCCACTTCATTTCTCTTCATTTAGCTAATGCTAAGGCATCACTCAACTGACTGGGAGTATCCTTGGAAATTTGTAGTAGACAAAGCAAAAGGATTATCTGTCTGCTTGTGGATCTGTAGCCTATCCACAGATAATTTCAGTGGCAAGGATAGTCCTTTACTTTGAATGTCTGGATATAGTATGACTGCCCCCTAAAGGCAAGAATGCATTCATGCTGCTAATTCGTTATAGTAAATGACTTAAGTGATACAAGGTTAGCATATAAGGATAAAGAATTCTATATTAATAACGTGTATAACATAATTGTACTTGACAATTTTGGATTTTGCATTTGATAGATGGTCCGCTTAATCTTTCTAGGTTTCTTAAAAGAACATGTTGGTAGCTGTTATTTTGCAACTAGAAGCTTATTTTAAACTCATAATTTAATTCCAAGTATTATTACAGCTTTTAATTACATTATGTAAAATTAGTTAAGATGATTTTATTATATGGTAACAGCCTCTTAAAGATGAATCTAAGAATTGTCTTCTAATACCATAGTTGATATGGCACTACGAGTTAATGCACCAGACTGCAAATCCATTTGAACTGCAAGGTTGGTGGTTCAAGCTCACCAGCTGCTCCTCAGAAACCCTACACAGGGTAGCTATGGGTCAGAACTGACTCGACGGCTTTTCACAACAACAATATTCATAAAGTGCTTTACAAATATAGGAATGTTGTTGTTGTTAAGTACTGTAGAGTTGGTTCCGACTCATAGTGGCCCCGACAGAGTTTCTGAGGCAGTAAATCTTTATGGGAGCAGAAAGCCTCATCTTTCTCCCATGGAACAGCTGGTAGTTTCGAACTGCCAACCTTGAGGTTAACAGTCCTATTCATAACCAGTATGCTACCAGAGCTCCTTAAACATAGGAATATTAGGGTAAAAAATCAGGGATCATAATACATTTCTCCTAAAAGTAGCCCTGTGGGACTGTGATACTGGGGACTGTGAACTGAAGAATTTTCCTCTTTCAAGAATTTCTGGGGTTTCCAAATTGATGAACAGAGTTTTTGAATTTCCTAGCAAAATCCTAGCTTCCTTTTAACAGAAATGGATAAGTTGCTCCTAGCATTATTATGGGATTGCAAGGTACCCAGAAGAGCAAAAGAAAATAAAAAATCTGTAAAAAGAACAAAGTTGGACGAGAATAAAACTACAATAATCAAAACAGTGTGGTATTGGCATGAGGATCGATATATAGGCTAACGGAACAGGATTGAGAGTACAGACAAACCCAGACATCTACGGCCAATAGCTTTTTAAAACACTGAGGTTGCTACTGCATGCCATCAAATTGATTCCTACTTTTAGCGATCATATGTAGGATTTCTGAGGCTATAGATCTTTGCAGGGACAGAAAGCCTCATTTTTCTCCTGTGGAGTGGCTGGTGCATTTGAACTGCTGCCCAACACAATCCACTACGCTTTCAGGGTTCCTTTAAAAAAATAATTCTTTTACTTTTGTTGTTTAGAATACAGACAGCAGAACACACCAATGCAATAGTTTCTACATGTAGAGTTCAGTGACATGGACTAAGTTGTGCAACCATCCTCACCCTTCTTTCTGAATTATTCACACCACAGTTACATAAATTCATTGCCCTGGACATTTCCTATCTAATCTTTTGAGTTGCTGTTGTCAAGTTGGCCCCATATAGATAGATCTTAAAAGAGCACAGTGCTCAAAGCAGGCATTCTTTACTAGTTAAACTAAAAAATGGTTTGGTTTTAAAAATACTTGAGGGAATAAGTCTTTGGTTTAAGGTTTAAAGATGATCTCAGGGCAATAATGAGAGCTTCCATGGCTCCCTAGAGTCTAGATTCTTTGAAAATTTAAAATTATATTCTGCACTTTGCCCCTTTTCAAGATTCTGCTATGCAATCTTTGGTCAAAATGTTTGGCAAATTGATTTTTGACAAGGGTAAAAAGTCTATTCAATGGGAAAAGAAGTCTTTTTAACAAATGGTACTGGAATAACTGGATTTCCATATGCAGAAGAATGAAAGTGGACCAACCTAATATTCTGGCCCTTCATTTTAGGACACTCTTCTTGCATTACTCCAGCAAAGAGGACATTTCTTAAACGATCAGTAGAATTTACAGAGCTCAAAGGCTTATATCTAAAATGTATAAACATCTCATGATAGGGAATATTAATGGACTTCCTGGTGAGGCATTGTAGGCTATTGTGTCAGACTGTTAAGTTGTTAACACTGCTAGGTCAGTGGTTCAAGCTCACCAGCTGCTCCTTGGAAACCTTATATAGGGTAGTTATATGTCAGAATCGACTCAACGGCACTTAACAACAACAACAACAATCTATATAAATCTCTAATTTATTTACAAGCTTAAGAGATGGATAGCAAGCAAATGAATCTGAGCAGAGAGCAAATGGGGTGAACTACCAGAACAATTTTAAAACAGGCAAAGCACAACCAGGATTCTTTCTGTAGGCAAAGGATACTAATGATGTACATATCCAGAAAGGGAAATTCTTTCAGCTACTTATCTCAGAAGCAGTTACTGAGCACATCGACAGGGAGATCGCTAAAATTGCAGAGTTAGTCTAAGTTCAGATTTGTGGATCAAGGATCTGTCTTTATTGATATTAGAGGCAGACTTGACTATGTGCCATGGATTCCAACAGCTAACCTGTTCTCCGCCATTGTTGGGATGAAATGCTGTTGGTAGATTTATCACTACAGCTATAAAGACTCACACATGGATGAGAACACGAGGATTGCAAATCACTAAATAACTCTTGACTAAGTGCAATCATAAGAAAAGTTTCTTGCGTGTCTTTCTTGGAATGAAGTGAATGCAATTTTAATAGAATATGCTAAGTAGGAGCACTTTTGAAAGTGCATATATGAAAAAAGAGGGGTGTGTGTTTCAATGCTGGGCTGTCAAAAGGGTAAATGTGATGGATCTCTTTTTTACTTTATCTACCATTCACATCCTCCTTTTCATTCTTTTTTCTTTTAAAAAATAATTAACAGCATCCTAGTTCTCTTTGAAGAAGACTTGGTGGCACTGTGGGTTAGGCATTGAGATGCTAACTGCAAGGTCAGTGGTTCAAACCCACCAGCTGCTCATGGGAGAAAGATGAGACCGATTCCATAAAGATATAAAGTCACAGAAACCCTATATAGGGTCATTATGAGGCAGAATTGGTTCAATGGCAGTGAGTTTATTGAGTTAAATTATTGGATCAAAAGAGGGTCCACATCACAGTAAGCCATTTGAAAAGTTATGTCAAAAATTTCTGAATGATAAACAAACAAGGTTCTGTAGCCAGAATATGTTTCTAGGGAGCAGAATTAATGGTGCAGGTTATAAGAGGGAGTGGCTACTGTGTTCTCCATCTATAAACTCTGTGTATTGTTTGTTTGCAAGCAATTCAATCCTAAATTATTTATTAATTTGCTAGATTAAATGGTTGGTACAACTTGAATATGATTGTTAAACATTAAGAACAGTTCAATTCACAGACAGTATAGGTTATCCCATTTGAACCAAAGACATGGTTTTGGCTTAACTCATGAACTCAAACACAAATAAATAAAGAATGTCAGTACTGGAAAGCCATTTTGCAATGTGTTGTTGCTATTGTTTTAACAATTGCTGAATGTGGACTATCTTTTCAAGGAAGAAATGAAGAATTTGGGTTCCCCACAAAATTGTAATTTGAGGGGTTTACTTAATGTCCTGTTTAGTTTGATCCATTTTTTTGCCCTCTACTCACGGAGAAAGATGAGGCTTTCTGCTCCCGTAAAGATTTACAGTCTCGGAAACCCTGTACAGGGTCACTATGAATTGGAACCGACTCCACGGCACATAACAACAACAACAACAACAACGACTCATGGATATGGATGGTCATTGAGAAAGAGGAAGACTCCCAATGCAATGCATTGGTGCAGTGGCAGCAGTAATGGGCTGAAGCATAACGACAACTCTGAGGATGGTGCCAGACCAGGCAGTGTTTCAGTCTATTGCGGATAGGGTCACTATGACTTGACAGCACCTGACAACAATAACAACAATACATAGATGTGCAGTTCTCAAAATATACTTAGACAACAACCCAGAAAAAGAAATTTGATAAAGGAAGCAAGTGTAAATTGCTACAATTTGATGAACTTGACTTATACTTATGGATGTAGTAGCTCAAAATACTAACTAAGAGGAAAGGAGTCTTCATATCAAGAAACACACAGGGTTGATAGGGCTGGGCAACTTAGACATTGGCTACCTAAAATGGCGGGGGGTGGGGTGTATAAAGGCACGAGTGACTGGCTTGCAAGTTTGCAAGAGGGAGTTTAGCTTCAGAGTGTGCAGGGGAAGGTAGAATCCCCACTGAATACTTTTCATTTTGTCTAGATGGGTCTGGTGAAAGGAGATGGTGATAAGATTCATTTGATTCAATAGTGAGTAATTGTTATCATGACTAATTGCGATTGTCACAGCTGTAAAGGTAGAGTTGTGTGACAAAAAGTGGGGAGTAGTTACTCTTACATTCCAGGAACAGAGGACCCTAGGACCACCAAGGGAGAAGAGCATGAGTGGAACATGGGACCATAACTAGAGAAGCAGCAACACCATAGAGGGAGGCAGAGATGAAGATACAGAGATAGAGCAGCTGAGGACTCTAGACTCATGGGAAGAGAAAGGCTGTGTCCTGGCAGCCAGGAGGCCAGCTTGCAGAATGTGCTCTTGGGTTATTTAAATGGTGATATATTCCTGAGTGTTTTTGTGTATATAAAAAAAATCCCCGAGAATCCCCACAAATAGAAGGAATAGAAGCAGGTACTGTTAACTGATGATGCATGGAGGGGAATGTAATCATTGCAATGAAACAAAATGTAATAGGTTGAGTGCAAAACCGATGTTCTCCCATGTAAAC